TACAGATAAAAAAATTCTTTTCTATTAAAATATTAATTATATGAGATTATTATTTTCATATAATTCTAGTTACATAACACTAAATAATAAATTAAAATAATTAAATAATAAAATATAGTAATCAACATCTAAATTCTTTGTTTTGTCATTAATACAATCATGTGCAATAACAGTAGCTCATTTGTTGTTACAGTGCACCTTAATCGGTAGTGATGTACAGATCTTTAATTCTTCAAGAAGTCTTTTTAACCATAAAACTTCATAAATTCCATGAGCAACAGGTATGTATTCAGCCTAGGCACTACGTTTGGCCACTAGATTTTGTTTTTTACTCCTCTATTTGCCAAGTTTTCTCTCACAAAGGTACAATATCCTAATGTTGATCTTTTATCTGAAACACGTCAAGCCCAGTCTGCATCTATATAAGCCTATCTGTCGATGATTGTGATTCCTAACGAGTAATCTTTTACTAGGAGGTCCCTTTAGGTATCTAAGGATTTCATAAACTACTTCAAAATGCTTTTGGCTTTGAGAGGTGCATAAATTGATGTACTCCTAGTAATCTTAATCACAAATTAAGAATATTAAAAGAAGATATGTCAGTAAATAAAAAAATGTATCATAAATTACTTGGAAGATTGATGTACCTATCCTACACAAGACCAAACATCGTCTATACAATGAATGTTATAAGTCAATTTATGCATAATCTGAAAAAAAAGTAGTATATAAAGTACTGCATTACTTAAAAAGGTTACTTGAAAAATGAATTATGTTCTAGAAGAGTGGTAAACTCTCTTAAAAGTCTATATTAATGCAGATTATGCAGGATGAGTTATAGATGGAAAGTCTACTATAGGATATTATACGTTCTTTAGGGATAAAGTAGTAACATGAAAAAATAAGAAGTAAAATATAATTACGAGATCAAGTGTACAATTAGAATTCTGAGCAATGGCACAAAGGGTATGTAAACTACTATAAGTACGAAGAATTTTGGAAGATCTTAGGGAAAATCCTATATGCATATACTGTGATAACAAATCAGTCATAAACATTGCACATAATCTGCTGCAACATGAGCAGATCAAATATATCGAGATCTATAAACATTTTATAAAAAAAAAACTTGATAACAATATAATATGTAGCTCATACATGCCTATAAATTCTCAAGTGGCATGTGTTTGACTAACACCTTAAACAATCCAGCATTTCAGACTCTTATTTGTAAGCTGGGATAAAAATTTATTTTCCAGGTTGAGAGGCAGTATTAAAGAAATGATAAATTAGTTTAAAGAGTATTAGGATAAATTACAGTATATGTAAGTGTTTATTTCCTTTTCTATCATAAAAAATTTGTATATATAGAATTATAACATTCAATAGAATACATATCAATCATTCTTCACATTAACCAATTTGGCTTTGCTATGACTTCTATTTCCATCATTAGATATTTGAAGAGAAACTTGTTGTTGATGTTGAAGATGTATTATGCTTGGATATGTACTAGTTATAGTAATCCTTTTGCTTACCCAGTTTGGTGTATAATTAACCTTTATGCTCATCTTTCTCAAATTTGTCCAGTAATTTATCAAACTCATTACTTTTGTATTTGGGCTGGTGCTTCAACAACACAGAAATGGAATGCGAGGGTGAGCTTCTCAATCAATTATTACAATCTAGAAGAATGACAATGGACAATATAAGAGCAAGTCGACAGCAGTTTATTCTTGTAGCATCATTACTTGACCGGATACCTAATCTTGCTGGATTGGCACGGACATGTGAGGTGCATTCTGGCACTTACTAACAGTATACGTTTCATTTGTTTCTTGATCACTTGCTTTGGATCTTTGTTTGATCTATCCCTTGGTTGTGCCAAATTACCAACATCCGAATTATCATTCCTTGCAGGTCTTTAAAACATCAGGATTAGCTGTAGCGGATGCGAATGTAGTAGTTGACAAACAGTTCCAACTTATCAGGTTTTGGCATTATTTCATTGATTATCTTTTTGTTAGAAAAAGAAGATAACAGTATTAAAAGAGAAAGAGTAAAGTCCTATAAAATAAAATAAAATCAAAACCAGAAGGCAGACAATATAAAATGGCCTCTCCATTCCTGCAGGAATTACATGGTGGTCGAAAACTATTGGGCTTTGGTATCCTAATTACATTAGAACTTTTGTCCTTTGTATTCCTTTGGGCTTTGGTTATCTTATTGATTATTTCTTTCCTATGGTTTTAAGGCCCCTAACTTGTTATTTCAAATTGTGGGTGTCTGTGCGCCGATGTGTTTTCCATAATTAGCAAAGGCAAACTACAAAATATTTTTAAAAAGGAAATGAAAATCCGTGCTTCTTTCAAAGTACATCTTCCCTAGGTTGTAAAGTATATTATTGAGTTAGGTTATTTGACATAATTTTGGTGTTCAGTGTGACAGCAGAGAAGTGGATTCCTATAATGGAAGTCCCAGTAAAGAGTATGAAAAATTTCTTGGAGAAAAAGAAACGAGAAGGCTACTCAATCTTGGGTTTAGAGCAAACTGCAAATAGTATTCCCCTTGACAAGTATACATTTCCTCAGAAAGTGGTAATGGAGTTTTCTGGTATAAAGCAAGTGGTGAAATTCTATTTGTGTTCAAATGTGTTTTTTGTTAAATTTTTTATTTTTGCAGGTGTTGGTTCTTGGACGTGAAAAGGAGGGTATACCCGTCGATATAATCCATATACTAGATGCTTGCGTCGAGATCCCGCAGCTGGGAGTTGTTAGGTCACTTAATGTTCATGTAAGTGGTGCCATTGCTCTCTGGGAGTATACTCGACAGCAGAGATCACATTAGCTCTTTCTCTACATCAGCTACTACAAATTTCTTCCTTTTTAGGCGCATCTTGGTGAGGGATAAAATCAACAATCCAAATTTTGATCTTTTGACCGCATGCATGAGTTTTAGCAACTAGCTGTTACAGATTTTTGCCTTTTTTTTTTTTCCTGGTGGAAACTGGCTGTTGGAAAATTAATTCTAACTACTATTTCTTTAATTTAAAGTTGTGTTATAAATTGTTTCCAGTCAATATGCGAATACCCTTTCTGCCCCATTACACTATCAATAGCCAATGTTACAACAAATTATATTCAGTATCTCAGCTTAAATTTTGAAAGAAAAATCTGTTTCTACTTCACAAGGATTGCCACTCTATGTATAGGAGTCTAAACTGAAGAGTCAAAAATAAATTTTTTTAAGAAAGAAAAGGAAAAATAAGAAAAAGAATCGAAAGAAGTGTAAACTTATCTATCAATCTTTTTCTTGGTGAAATATTCTTCTCTTCTTATAATTGGTCTGAACCAAGTATAAAGATAGTAACTGTGTTTAAACTGTTAAAAGGTATTGATCTTAGTTTAAAGAAAGTTGTCATGTATTTGTAGCATGTACACAATGGTTGAGGACAGAAGGGTTAGATCGGAAAGAGATGAGAGAAAAGAGTTAAGATAGATGAAAAACATAGAAATGAAAGGGGAATATAGAAGATTAATGTTGGATTACGAGATTCTTATCCATCTTTTTAAGTTTAGTTAACATATTCATATTCAATGAAAAATATTTTCCTTTGCTAAGTCTTTTATATCTTAATTCTTAACAAAAAAGTTTGATATTGTTTATATTTTTTTTTCCTTTTTTATCTTATTAATTTTATAATTATTTTGTGGTAAATATTGACTCCATCAACCTCAATAAAATGTTAAAGAATTTTTAGCTCTAAGTTTCATCTTTTGTAATAAATAAAAGCTTCTTATAAGTTATAACGGTCT